TGAGAGAGAGAGAGAGAGAGAGAGAGAGAGAGAGAGATCAATTCCCACCATGAAACAGATTGGAGATAGCTCTTGCGATGAAGAGGAAGAAAATCTCCAATGATCTCTGGGGAGAACCCCTTGATTCTTATGGAATTTGGAAAGGAAAAAAAAAATCAAAACTCTAAATATTCAACAAAAATGTTTTTATGGCCGCCGTGTTTTTTTTGTTTTTGTTTTTTTTGTTGACTCAGAAATTAGTTCTGTGGGAGGGGGAAATGTGGGAGATTTCTAGATGAACTTTGAGGTAAAAGGAGCATAACAGCAGCCTCTCTCGATTCAAATAGAACCCACGAAGGAAATAGACGGATCTGATTTAGAAAGAAAGGCAATTCTGGTTATGCATGCTATCTTTAGAGAATATTTTTTATCTTCAGAACCTCTCACGAACGTTACCCCGTGAATGGGGAAGGTTTCATGCCGCCAGTCATGGGGAGTACAGAAAGGAGCAGAAAGGTGGCTTTAATGGCGTCTTGAAGTCGGTGTTGATTTGCATGTCAATAACCTCTGGCTAAATAATTTTTGTGAGGATATCATTTCTGATGAGAGCCAAACTTGATGGTATAGAGAAACAGTTTTCCCTGTTATCAAACAACCATCTCTCTCTGTCAGAGCCGGCGGCGAATTTCTCGATGAGACAAGGATTTCCCCTTAGCCCCCCTAGCGCCCCCTATCGGCTTCTATGTCCGGGTCACAAAACAAAAGCGTTTAGAGAGAGACGGTCGATATATGATATTATAGGCTTGATCGGGTGGCGCATGAACCTGCATAAAATAATATTTTACAGCTTTCAGGGTTACTGATCTCAGAGTTGTGTGAAAGATTTATTCTTTTTTTTTGTCGCAGGAAGGGTTGGCGTGGTCGTCAATGCCGTCTTGAGGTGGGGTGAGAAAAAGGTGAAAACAGTCTGAGGGTTGGGGCTGCTTTAAATTGATTTTCCCAATGTGATTTGTAAACACTTCACTGGGCCTGAGCGGTATTTATGGATATGCTTAAGGCTGTGGTTCGGGACGAAATTCAATTTTCAGTCCTTTTCTTTCATTTGAATTTTGTTTGCCCAACCTTGCCTTCCTGTCCATTGTGGTTTTCGATTTTTCCCGTTTATTTTTTTGTCTTTAATTTACTGCCTTTCCTTTCAGTTTTTGGAATCCCGGCACACACTTTTGCGTTAAAAGGCATAATTGGGAATGTAGCTTTAGGAATAGTGGACCGGCTGAACATAAGTATGTCATATTATTCGCACAAAAATTTCAAAACGCCTTTAATGATTCCTTGGAGTATACTTGTAACTCTGAATTTATTTTAAAAATGAGTGTGTATGTGTGTGTTTGTGTGTGTGTGTGTGTGTATGTCTCCGTGTGTGTCTCTGTGTGTGTGTGTGTGGGGGGGTATGTGTGTATGTGTGTGCGTGTGTGTATGTATGTATGTGTGTGTGTGTGTGTGT